ACGCTGTGGACGTAGTCGAAACCTACGACCAATTGTCGGTGAGTAGATGTGTGATGATAGGGCTTGATGTGCGATGTTTTATTGCAGATTTGCATATAGCCGTGTAGGCAAATGCCATGACTCAATATCTGCGAACAACGTGGACAGCTGAGATGGATGCGACAAGTGTATTTTGATATTACTGGGACGAGTTCGCCAGCCTTAGTACCAGAGATTCGCAGGTGCCCGACTATGCCGAGACTACTAAAGTGGTTTGATCAGGCTCCTTGCCGCTACTTTCGACTCATTCTACTTGTACTTGTTACGGCCGCGATCATGACTGGTCGACTCATTGTCAATACCTGAAATATTTTGCCAGGTAAGGTAGCCCCTTAAGCAACCGTTTAATCTGTTTTTTTTTTACCGAGTTTCGCCATCCAAGCCCTGGTGCTTGCTAAGCAATATTTTTGGCTTTGAGCGGCTTCATGTTTTCTTCAAACCGTAAAAAATGTTAATTCTTCCCTTTTTATGTGCCCTTTATCTTTATAAATGTGCCTGACGTCGATCCCTACCCAAGCTTGCTGTTCGTCAAAAAAGGACCCGCAGCTGCGTCGAGACTTTCGACTATTGGCTACAGATGTTTTTGTTTTAGTAAATTGCCACAAGCATCCGTTAAGCTCACGAGCCCTGCACTCTGTCAGTTGAAGTACATTACAGCCTCTTCTTTCGAGAGGATTTTCTGGTCTTTCGAAGGATACTTCCAAAATTTTACTTAACGCATCAATCCTATTAAATGTCTAACTCAAATCTCCTTTCTTTCTTTCTTTCTCCGTAGTTGTTCACCGTGGATCCGTATCGGTTGACTGACACTGATGTGTACTCAAACGTGCTGTTTGTCAAGGGCGAACACAACGAGTTAGCCTATCTAGCGCGTCGTTGTGCCGAAATTGACAAGTATCGGCCGCAGACATGTTGTGTTTTAGGAAATTTCTACGGACTCCGTGGCCAACACGACAAGGCTGTTGTTTACTTTCAACGGGCCTTACGATTGCAACCGCGTTACGCCTTAGTTTGGACTCTGATTGGTAAGCAGCCAACATTCCCAATTCTTTTCAATTTCGAAAAAACATTTATAATCCAAAACTCGTGCTCTCATGAAGCCTTTAAAGTCACCCATTCTGCCTTTGGATGAATATCCAACCCCCAAGGCCGTAACAACTGGTTGGATTTATTTAATGACGGCTCATAAGCGCCACGCCAAGGCACCGTCTCCAGACTGCGACATTTTTTTAAGGCCGTAACATGAGTTCTTCCGCCCACTTATCCAGGGGTAGGGGACAGTTAGCTGCGAAATTAGCAGGCTTTCGGCTCCGAAGCATAAGCAGTGGCGGATCGGGCCTGAGAGGGCTGCCAAGAGGCTTTAATATTGCAAAATGACGACAGACCAATACAACCAATGCTCTGAGTACAGTTTTTGTAGCCCAAGGTTATGCACAATAAAGTAGTAGATAATAATTCAAAAATGTGACAATAAATGCATCTTCACTGTACTTTAAAATCTTTACTTTAGCAGCCTTCCCCCTCCTTTATAGTGTGAACTTTTTAAAATCGCAGCATTAGTTGTTTGTGACAACTAGAAAACCCTATGTCGCATTAAGGGTGCTTGTTCTCACCAAAATTTTTTCCCTGAAGATATCGCTTCCATCTTTTACGTCTCCAAACTCAAATTTGCTTTTCATTTTTCTTTCATAGGCCACGAGTATGTCGAGCTGCGACATCTGAAACTTGCTACCCATGCCTATAACCAAGCTATCATTCACAACCGCCACGACCATCGAGCCTGGTATGGCTTAGGCCAGTTATACGAATTTGTCAAGCAGCCAGAACACGCCCTGTACTATTACAAGTACGTCCCTTCTTTCGTTTTTATTATTTTCCGTTATCGGTCTGGGTAACCGTTTTAACGCAATATGTTCATATTTCTTTCTCTGATCCCATCTCAACAATGCCGGGAAGGCAAACTTTACCATTCCCGTTGATCAGTAGACAATATTGCGTTTCCGGGCAAAAACCCATTAAAATTAGAGTGATTACCCCTTCCTCTTTTTGCCTGGTACGCCGAATCTTACGTATATAAAGCTCCATACTATAGAATTGCAAAATATATAGCAGGGCAACTTAATTTAACCCACCTTCAACCAACAACTGATGGGCTTAGTTTTATTAACGACGCGAATTATAAAAATCGGGAAAATGTGTACTTGCCATCAATATTTACAAGCGTGTCCGTCAAGTAAACAGTCGGTGGTATGTCAAATTCCTTGAAAATAAGGAAATTTAAACAGGTATTCCAATCAATAGGCTTAAACCGCTAGTGTTTCGATGTACATTCAACGTGGGGCTAAACTTTGCGGATGGATAGATTGAGTTGCCATGAGCCTAACTCCATGCCATGTTATGGCCAAGAGCTTCATTAAAATGTTGTCAAACATGCCAAATAGATGAGTGTACCGCCGCGAAATGCGATGTTTTGGCCGTTTCTCTCTACTTATTTGCGATAACAACGAGGAGACCCAGTTTAGCAACTCTCTTCACATGAAAGGGCAACCCCACGCATAGGTTAAGCCTACGTTGGAGGAGGGGTTGGGAAATCCCACATCTCTGAACATGTCACATAGGAGAAGTCCTGACGTTGCTTTACAATGAAACTTATCTGAAGAAGTTGTGGACAGAGGCAGACTTCTCGTTGGCACCACCGGTTTTCCCTGTGTCAAGTTCCGTACCGTGTTCGCCATCAGCAGTGACTCTTATCTGGAGCTGCCGATTTCCTCTTTGAGTTAGTTCACTACTTTTTTGCCACAGACCTCTTGTGCGGCGAGCTGTAACTGCAGAGTCATCCTCTAGCACAGGGGTCGGCAACCTTTTTAACTCAGAGAGCCAAAAAAGCAAATA